CATGGAATGATGGAGTCCGGTTTTGTAGATCACCGCACAAGGACCACCGCCACGACAACCAAACACTTCCAACCACCGTGCAATTATTATTGTATCCGACCAATGCCAATTGTCATTGCCGTCCAATCGATTGTCCTCCGACGACTATCGAACCGAACCGACTATTGTTGATGAATGATCCAAAATCGACGGACCAACTTAAAAACTCGTCTTTGAAAATGAAGTTTTGGGCGTTTGTATGATGGTTTTGAACAGTGGGCACCTGATTTGCTGTGATGCTTCGACGTCCAATCCTGTCCTTTACTCAGATCTCAGACTTTGTGTTGACAGCGGGAAGATTTCAAAGAAAAAGGAGGAGGAGGAGCTCATGTAAAAACGATATTTGGAAGATTTCTAATTTCACCTTATCCTATTTTATCCTATCCCAATCCAAATTCAGATGATCAAACGCAGCCTTGGTTGTAAAGATCAGGCTAAGATCTTAGACATTCATCATGTTATGTGCAACCTCCCGAGAATGAAATAACTTCATTTTCCATTAGAAACTTCAATTCTAAGTTTTGCACATATAAAAGGTACAGAAGAATAGAAAAAGTCAAATATTGGGAAAAATTAAATTACCCTTTTCAGGGGGGATAATGTCCCTAGCGTCCATCTACTTTCGTCTCAAAATCAAATCCGTCCCTTTTTTTTTTTTCAGTTCAAAAACATCTCTCTACTTTGTAAAAGTTGCCACCGAATTGCTCTCAAATTGCAAATCCTCCTCCTCTTCCTTCAAACCCACCAAATTCGGCCAAAAATCCATGAATATACCCTGCAACAATCTAAAAGATCACGATTCCTGAATTCCCCACTCATGATCACCACTCCTTGCACCCATAGCCGTGAGCTCAAAGCTCGTGTAGCCCTTGCCGCAAGCTCCCGTTCTGCAAGCCCCAGATCTTGCAGCCATGGCAGCTTCGAGCTCGAGAACTACAAGCTGCGAATCTCGCGGGCTTGGCCATGTCGACATGAGAAGAGCTCGAGCTACCATGGCTGCGAGCTTTAGATTTGGCGAGCTCCATATCTGGCCATACAACCTCGATCTTGAGCAGCCATGGCAACATGCTTAGAGCAGCTGCGAGGGATGAAGATCGATTCATACTCTCATCAACCCCATCACAAACACTCTCGAGTCAAACTCCCATCAAACCCCCGCTCAGAAAGGCATTCTCTTGGTGTCCTTTTCTATCTCAATCCCAAATCGCATGGCTGTGTACACCTTTAATTTTTTCTCTCATGCAAATATAAAAAGCAGCACACACTTACGTACCCAGTTAACTTCACCATTACACGGGCAAACCTTGCACCATTGCACGAATGGTGGATATCCTCTCTCTCTCTCTATCTCGATTAATTCTCCTTTAGTTTTTAAGTTGTTTGATGTTGGGCCATATGATACTTTTGAGCGAACCATGACAAATGCTCCGCGTTCATTTCAGCAATTTAAAGGTCCCTATCAGCAAAAATTGATTGGCCAAAGAAAAAAAATAATGGAATAACATGAGATTTTATATAAAAAAAAGAGAGTACATGGACAATTTTGAACAAACAGAAAGTAAGTACCGAGGATGGTTTTGAATTTCAGGCAAAGTAGAGGGATCATTTGTGACATTTCATTTTTCTAGGAAGGGTTTAGGAAAATCTTGAAAGAAGATTTGCGTGCAAGAAAAAAAGTTCGTTCGGGCCCAAAAAAAATTTGGACCCCGATCTCGGAAGAAATCCAACTATATTAATGAATCGTTTTCTTTTCGAACAATGACAATTGTCTCTTAATATGATATTTGATATCATCCTTGAGTTTCAATTTCTGCGATTAGGTTCCCAAATTTTTGTTCAATTTGTAATAATGCTCATGAGCTTTCAATTATTTCGCCAAGGTCTCTGAATTATCTTAAAATGTTCAATTCCATCGATTCATAAAAGAAAAAAAACTTTCAAATCAGGAAAAACCGACTCAATACATACCAAAAGTCCCCCCCCCCCCCCCGCCTCTTAAGACCCCAAGTATGTTGAAGCATGAGGCGAGCACCTCCACGCGAGCGAGCGCACTTGACACCTAAGTTTACGCGATTTTACCAAATTGTTATGATATTTTACCCTCCATGAATTCCTTTTATGGTATGCTAGGCATATTCTTGGACTTTTTAGAGCTTCTCCACGAGGAGCTTGGCGGGCCTCTAACGGGCTTACTTGCGGAAACCCCATAAACCCCTTATTCGGAGGAGGGCAATTCCTTGGAAATGGTGGTCACCGGGACAAGCCGCCAGTGGTTCTCTATTGAAATTTTAAAATGTATAGAATTTATTCTTCAAGTACTGTTTCACCCTCCCGCAAATTACTCATGAGCTTTTGTTCTCCTAACATCAATTTGGACCCCACATGTTGTCTCAACTCTTTCGTTTCTACTAAAATCCTCGTGGAGATTCATATTATCAAAGAAATGTCCCCGCCTCCTCAAGCTCTAGATACAGCCAGAGCCATGGAAATTCAACCATTTCTGGCTTGAAAACTTGCGTTTCGCTACTCCCACAAAACTGACAACCGTATTTGGTGAGTCGCCTTTCCAGAAATTCGAAGTTTGATTTTCAATGACTTTCTGGAGATTCAATCTCGTCATTGCTTATGATGCTACAGGAGAGTGGCCGCCGGACAAATGCAAAGAAGCCGGATCAACACACCTTACCTTATTATATCGGATTATCTATTTATTTATTTATCTCGCATACGGCCCGTCTATAAAGACAGTCCGCGTAAACCAAACTTTTTATGGATATTAATTACTTGTTTACCAAGGCTTTAATTTGGTTAATACTTTAATAGAATTTGACCACGTGGGTGATTTGTTAATCGAATCAGTCGATTCAACGTGACCTTGCTCCCATGCATGTTGACCTGCATTCTCCATCAGTCAGACCTACAATTCTCCAGTTGAATGTCGAACCCGTGGTTTTGTGCAACTTCCATTCCCTCGATGCTGGGCATTGTCTTGTCTTTTATTGTAAAACAAAAGGAATCTTAGAAATTAAGGATTAGAAACATATTGAGAATAAGGGAGGAGTTTGTACTAGGGGTGTGCAAATGAACCGAAAATTGGACCGGACCAGAACCGGCGGTTCCCATGGGGAACCGGTCCCGGACCATGCTCAACCCTAGTTTGTACATAGGAAGAATTGCCCTTCAGTAAGACCTGGATGTGAGCAACTGGCCGATTCAACCCGGGACGAGACTCAAGGGTTAATATATCATCGCAATTTCCTTTCCAGTATAAAAAAAAAGGAAAAAAAAATGCCATCTCCCCTTTTTTTTTCTAGTAAGGAATGAGCTGCAAGACTTGAATCTTCTACCAAAATAAGGGAAACAAACGTTTCACACGAGATCTATCACTATTAAGACTATTATTTCATACGGCCTTGAAAAAACTATACCAATTTAGATTTTACCATGGTCAAGGCTCGTGTTATAAAAGTTCGATTTTTACACGAATTATCTTCAAAATGCCGTGATTTATATTTTTGTGCCAATATCAACATTGTGGCTTTAATGCATATATGAGGCATATATCCATTATGAAAGAACTTTATCACCCATTGAAGTTATAATCCATTTCTTTATAAGGTAGACGAATAATCTTCAGTTCCATAATCTTTACGATCTCTTTCATGTCTCCATCTATTGAAGGGTGGGTTTGACTCAAATTACGCCAAGGAGAAATTGTGATTTTTATATACTAAATCTACCGCATAATTTAATCAATCTCGGGTCAAATCCACGTTTTTAGACCGGGTGGTGTTGCCCCTCCCGAGGGCGCAATCATCTCCCCGGCTTGGTTCTAGCCTGCTCATTCGGTATTATGCAGAAGAAAGAAAGGTAACTTTTGCTCTCTCCCCAAAATTTAAAATATTATTTGAACTTCTAAAAATTAAGAAAAATAGTATATGTTAATTTGTGTAAAAATTAAGAAAAATAGTATATGTTAATTTATGTTTCAATATTTATATACTGTGAAATTTTCGGGTGTCTTGAATGGAAAAAAAAAATCAAAGTGCTCGAACTACAGTATTTTTATTAGGGTTAATATTACAAAAAATCTCAAATTGGCACACATGTGACAAATTTATCCCGAACTGATTTTTTGACCACAAAAAATTCAAAACTGGTACATTTATGACAAATTTACCCCGAACTAATTTTTTGATCATAAAAAACCCTGAACTGATACATTTGTGATAAATTTACCATTTGTTAAATTGGATTCACACCACAAAAAATCACAAATTGATAAACTTGTGAATAACGGAGAGGTAAAATCCAAAATTGGAATATTTGTCAATTGCCACGTGTCATCTAACTCAGAAATTTGACGGTGAAATTTAACGGAAATAACGGAGGGTAAATTTGTCACAAGTGTACCAGTTTGGGATTTTTCCTGGTATTGACCCTTTTTATTATGCAAAAAGGAAAAAATAAAAATCAACCAAGACAAGTAATAGCATGTTATGATTATCCTCCTAATTGCAACTCTAATTATAAGCTAAGTCTCAAGATAATGGTACGCTAATGGTTATGAAGAGGCCCTCGAATTATCTTGTAAGCGATATGTCTGCGCGACGTGGCCAGTATACCTTCAACAATTAGTCTTTCCTATCTTCTTCTTACAAGGATTAGCATGTCATATCTTTCATGCCTAAAGCATGTGTATTCTTAAATGTGGTTCTACGAAAATGATTAGCATTCCACGTCAATCCCATATCAAACAGAAAAAGACAACAACTAAACAACAGGCAAAAGAATATATCTTAATCAGAGGTAAATTTGAGACCAACATAGCATAGACTTTGGGAAACACTCCGAATTGGTCAAATTGTCAAAGGGATTGAATGGAAACAGGATTAATCAGGTTAATCTATAAATATACTGCTCAACACAATCAAATTAACCACTTCATCCAAGAGCTTCAAATCTCTCTTCACCAAGCCTCTCAAAAGAGTTCAAATTCTTCTGCTTCGTTTCTCCATCTTTTGGCATCATCAATGCAGCCTCCTGCTCATGGGAAGTTGGTCACCATTCTAAGCATTGATGGTGGTGGGATCAGAGGAATTATTCCTGGTATAATTCTGGGTTTCCTAGAGACCGAGCTTCAGGTAGCTACACTTCGCAATAATTAATTTTTGTCATGTCGACCGTTTTATTATATGGAATTTCTCCTTTTCTTTTTGGGATAGCACCATGCATATTTGCCAAGGGATTAGGTCATCCTAAGAATGTGCATCTTCTGAATGCATATGTACTCCTAGTAGCTAACTATGCGCATTTGAATTGTACACATCAACGTTCAACTTTGGGTCGAATAGTATGCTCAAGCTAGCCATGGATGCCACCTGACCCGTCGCACCCAAGAAAATTTTTGCCAAGTTGGTTATGTTAGGATCTGGTCATTTACCCCCTGAAAGACTGAAACAAGCTTTTTTGTTATGGCATAATGCAGAAGCTAGATGGAGAGAACGCAAGAATAGCAGACTACTTCGACGTCATCGCAGGAACCAGCACGGGTGGCCTCGTCGCCGCGATGCTGGCAGCGCCAGATAAGAAGAACCGCCCTCTATACGGCGGCAAGGACATCAAGGCCTTCTATTTGGAACACAGCCCTAAGATCTTCCCTCAGCCCAGGTCTTAATAATTTCGTAGCAAATATATTTAATCATATTACATCTCAAGATCAGATCACTAATAAATTTAGAGACCAATCTATCGTTATATTTCACCAACATATGAGTCTCAGCTTCTCTCATGGATCAGATGTCCGAGCATAATGGCCAACACTGTGAGGACGATCAAAGCCATGGCCGGACCGAAATACAGAGGGAAGTATCTACACAAACTTATTAAGGAGAAATTGGGAGACACCAGATTGCACCAAACATTGACTAATGTGATTATTCCAACATTTGACATCAAGGAATTGCAGCCTACAATCTTCTCCAGCTTCCAGGTTGGGTCAATATTAACTCAAAAACCGTACAAAACCCCAAAAAAGTAGCGTTAGGTGAAATACAAGAAGAGTAGCTAGATGACTTGCCCTATGACTGTTTTAATTGATTATCTGACCGTGTTGCGCGAGTTTCAGGTGAAGAAGAATCCTAGCTTGGATGCTTTAGTCTCGGACATATGCATCGGAACTTCGGCTGCACCAACTTACCTGCCAGCCTACTATTTTAGAACTAGGAACCCTAATGGATCAGTCAGGGAATTCAATCTTATCGATGGTGGCGTTGCGGCAAATAATCCGGTAGGCTCATTTGTGTCAGAAAACTTTTACGCTATAATTGCACCGCATAGTATTAGGCAATATGTGTACAATATATGTAGAAAATTTAACAATTTCGAGTTAGTCAAAGTAGAATCTAGTGAGTATTCTTGAACCTACCTTTTTTATTTTGGTAAATCTAAGACTTCCTTAAAATTAGCTGAACATTACATATCCAAAACAGGGGGCAGACCCTCCAATATTATCATTGTTCATGTACTACATTGGTTAGTACAACAATTCGAATTAAAGTCATAAGACAAGGAGGCTCATCAAAAACAACAAAATTGTCCTCTAAATCCTTGCCCATGATCGCAAAAGCATCAGCACAGCAGTTAGCCTCCCCGAACAACGTGCTCATTTTGATTCGTCGTATCTGCCCCATCAATCTCCTGCATTCAGAAAGAAGTGGTCCTAGTAAGAAATTATCATCATCAACCTTACTAAGTGCCCAAACAACATTAAAGGCATCTCTATATGTAAGTTCTGAATGTTAAAAAAAACAGCCAGCTACTGGAGGCCACTAGTTGTCCCCATTCTCGAGTAGTAAGTACTCGGGTGGAATAAAAGAAATGAATTAGTGCATAACAAGCAGTATTAGTAACAATGCAGACATCAAAATCCATTTTGATTTTCCTGGAATTAGAGCAGCATGCCGTGATAATTTGTATTGTTTGTCTTACTATTCATGCATCACAGGCTTTAGTGGCTGTAAGTGAGGTGACCAAAGAAATAAGTGATTCGAACTCGGACTTTGATGTTCCTGATATGAAGCCAACGGACTATACTAGGTTCCTGGTTCTGTCCCTGGGCACCGGTTCATCGAAATCAGAGGAAAAGTACAGCGCCAAGAAAGCATCGAAATGGGGTGTGCTCGGCTGGCTCACGAATGGTGGTTCGACTCCGTTAGTTGATGTCTATACTCAAGCAAGTGCAGACATGGTGGATATTCATCTCTCCACTCTATTCCAGTCTCTTAAATGCAAAAATTATCTCCGCATACAGGTAATACACTGTCTGATATTCATTAAAGTGCGATATTGTACAAATACCGGTATACTAAATCGCAATATTAATACCGACAAAGAAAACACACCTTGAAAGAAAATCAACGGACTTTTTATTTTTATTTTTATAAATGTATGGCATCCAATAAGTGTAATCTGAAAAAGACGAGGTAAAAAATGATGCAGGATGATACATTGACGGGAGATGTGGCTTCGATTGACACGGCCACAAGGGAGAACTTGGAGAATATAGTGAAGGTTGGAGAGGCATTGTTGAAGAAACCAGTGTCAAGGGTGAACTTGGACACAGGGGTCTTTGAGCCTTTAAATCAGGGTACAAATGAAGCGGCTCTCAAAAGGTATTTGTTTAAATGGCTACCTAATTCACTTTATCAACGAATTTCTAGTGACACAACTGATTTTTCCATCGATAATAAATTGGATATACGTTGATCTTTTTTCCTGTTTCTTGTTACCTTCTGAACATAGGCTAGCGGAAACGCTGTCCAAGGAGAAGCAGCTCCGCCGAGGAAAATCGTCGCCTCTGTGAACTATATGATGACGGGTTATTTATGCTACAAATTTACGTTCCTTTTGTACCCAGCATTGCAATTTGTTCCAGGAGATTCGGATGTACAACAATGTTATATCTGTTCATTCGTTTGAAGTTATAGGGACTTACCCTACAATTCGATCTTGACGATATGGAGAGATGTCTAGTTTCTTGACCAATCAAATAATAATCCTTTCAATGGTTCAAATTTTTTTTATCAATAGCGTGCATATGGCATTGTAACTTTCCTATTATAACAACTAGGAGAAAAGAATGGGACTTCAAAACGCAATCCTACGTCGTAGTAGTTGGCAGTAAACTTATGTATATCAGTGTATGCTCTCATCAGATGAAATTGAACCTGCTATATATGCTTGTCAAGATTATTTACTTAATGATGATGAGAATTGTTGGGATTTTGGCATCCAAATCCCATAGAATTGAATGACAAGTGTGTGGATGAAAGTGTCCCACATATGATAGAAGAGGTGATGGGAGATGGTTTATTTTGAGGAACCTCTCAAATGGATTTGGGCCCCAAGGGGTACCCCACTTTTGTGGAAGAGAGAGGACCTACGCCAATTCCCCCGCACGCGCACCGCCATCCGGCTCGGTTCGGGGTCCATTCTTTATCGGTATTTTATTTTTTTCCGAACAGACACGTTGTTAGAAATTAATTAATTAATTATTTTTTGGACAAACAGACGTGTCCGTTCGTGAGGTTCGGTTCGCCCGAACGAAAATCGCTTCGGTTCGAGTGAGCCTTCGCTACTGTTCACAAACCGAACGGGAACCGCAAGCGAGTCTTCATTACTCGCAACTCTTCATTTTCGCCATATACATATATCCGAACAGTTTAGTTCGGACTGTGACATTTCGTGGCATTTATATTCCCGCGAGACATTTTCCCTACGCACTCTAGACATTTTTCACTTCATCATTATCAGACGTGTCTGTTCGTGAGGTTCGGTTCGCCCGAACGAAAATCGCTTCGGTTCGAGTGAGCCTTCGCTACTGTTCACGAACCGAACGGGAACCGCAAGCGAGTCTTCATTACTCGCAACTCTTCATTTTCGCCATATACATATATCCGAACAGTTTAGTTCGGACTGTGACATTTCATGGCATTTATATTCCCGCGAGACATTTTCCCTACGCACTCTAGACATTTTTCACTTCATCATTATCAGACGTGTCTGTTCGTGAGGTTCGGTTCGCCCGAACGAAAATCGCTTCGGTTCGAGTGAGCCTTCGCTACTGTTCACGAACCGAACGGGAACCGCAAGCGAGTCTTCATTACTCGCAACTCTTCATTTTCGCCATATACATATGTCCGAACAGTTTAGTTCGGACTGTGACACTTCGTGGCATTTATATTCCCGCGAGACATTTTCCCTACGCACTCTAGACATTTTTCACTTCATCATTATCATTTTGTGCGATTATTCTGCGAAGTTGCGTTCGAAGGTGTCCTCTGAATACGTACCACTTCGGAGGAACGAGATCCGTTCTATCCTGGGAGACGATTGTCCAATATCCTCAGGTACTGATTGAGGGGCCAAATTCGTCTTAAGGACACGACGTTACTTCGTTGGGCTCGGATCAACATTCTGTTTATTTTTTGTACTGCTTTTAGGTTAGTTTTCCTGACGTTTATTTCAATTTTTGGTATGCGAAATTAGCCGACAACAAGAATGTCAAAATCTAGGCACTGCATGGATTATTTTCACTAAAGTTGGGGGAGTCATTCTCCATTTGCGGTCACAAACTCTCTCGTTGATAGTAAAACCCTCAACTTCAGTGAGAATCTTAGGTTTGAGACTCAACAAAAGCAGCGAACTGCCGGTGAGAACAAGTATGCTGCCAAGTGCTAGGTTCAAGATTGGAGCAGTAAATCTTGTTTTATTCCACAAGAACCTTGAGTATTCTTAAATTTGGTTCATCCGGATAGCAAACTTCAACGTTTGACCTGAAAACTTGACAACCATGATCATTTAATTAGTCAGTGTGTTCGCCTTGTTGAAGGCCTAGTATTTTTTTTGTGGTCTAAAGTTGACGGGCCTAGTTTTGATCGCCACAATTGTGTATTTTCCTGAGGCACATCCTCCGACCATAGCCCCCGTGATCTGAAAATTATACTTTGTGTGTAGGATGGATGACCATCACACTCATTAGAGGTTGCTCGAATAATCAAGGAGTTTAAGACACTATCGTTATAATAAAGCTTTAATAACAAAATTGCGGCTTTTTAATTGAATAATAAGGGAAAACTCGAAAGTTATCTACATGCTTGAACTTGTCCACGTGATAATTTATTGATACATCTCAGCTTATAGGATATTTCACCTAGTAAACATCTAAGATGCATTAGCGGAATCATCTTGACTAGTCCACCTCGTACAGTTTTAAGGGTGCACTTCGTCCCATTTGACTCTGCATTCAGAATTTTTTTGTTGGAGGATTTGCAAGAAGGCTTGAATCGAACCATAAGAAGACGAGCAAACTCCCTTACTATCTAATCCAACGCATTGCTGATACACAAGGTCAACCCGCATCATATAACAGCTTGGTCTTACATAGTTTTGGAGTGGCGAAAAAGCAAATTCTTACAAAGCCTATATCCAAGTTGGACTTACATTGCCCAGCTTTACATGTGGAATCTTTATTAGGTCTATTGACAGCTTAAAAGAAATTGTATGCGATCATTGTCGGATAATACCAACAATTTGGAGTAATAGCAACTAGCAAGAGAAGACCGATACCAGCCAGGTTCTTATTCATAGAGGAGGGATTTCCCTGCTTTCACTGCCCACTGTAAGTTCCACACATAAATGACCGGACGAATAGGATTCAAGTATAGCTTTATACTATGCTTTGCTTGAGAGTTTCGGAGTGATTGGCATGACGGCGGCGCCTCTCTTCCACAAGTAGCTTTGCGAACCTATAAAAGGTGGGAGAGTGAGAAATTTTGTCCATTGATAAGAGCAGCACAGTATCATTATATTGGATTTTCTACTTGTAAAATGAAATTTACATGGTCTGGCAAGCATATATGGCTTTGAGTTATGGAAAAAGACATGTACCTTTTCAGAGCCTGTTCATTAGTCTCCAGCTTTGAGGGCTCCAAGTTACCAGTCTCCAGGTTCACCTTCGAAACTGGCTTCTTCAACAATTCCTCACCGACTTTGACAAGATTGTTCAGATTCTCCTTTGTAGAAGTGTCGACTGTCGATACTGTCCCTCTCAATGTGTCATCCTGCAAGTCCTCAGTTATACTTTGCTGGCAGCTAGAACTATGATTATCTAGGGATGAACATTTTTTCTATCTAATAGACTATATGTTCCACATAAAACTCAGACGAAGAAGAGGCGCAAGAACTACTTTTTTGTATTATGATATTTGGACTTTAAGCCTATCATGAATCACCTGAATCCTGAGATAGTTATTTTCGGAATTAAGGGCTTTGAAAACCACAGAAAGATGAAAATCAACCACGTCGGCGCTTCCTTGCATGAACACATCCACTAAAGGAACTGAATTGGCTCCCATCAACCAACCAAAGACACCCCATCTAGCCACCGACTTGGCCTCATACTTCTCCTCAACCTTTGCTGATCCGGTTCCCACGGATATCACCAGAAACCGGCCAAATTCCGATGCATTTATGGAGTTGTAAGCAGGGGATTTCCTGGTGATCTCTCTCGTCACTTCACTGATGGCGATCAGAGTCTAATTGGAAGGAAAATAGAATACATGTCAAGAAGAAAAATGTGCTGAAACAAAGTTAAAAGGCTCAGGCTTGAGGACATTCAGCGCACCGGATTATTAGCTGCCATACCACCGTCGATGAGATTGAAGTCCCTCAGCGCACCTGTGGAGTCCGAGGTTTGAAAGAAGTGGGCCGGCAAGTAAGTTGGCGCTGCTGAACTACCAATGCAGATATCAGAAATTAGAGCATCGAGTCTTGTCTTCCTTTTCACCTGAACACTCAAAAATAGTGTCAATTGCTTTTCGATCTATGGTAAAGGGTCGCTTTTCGCATTATTACTGTAGAAGAAAATAGAAGTAGACCTCAAAGCTGGAGAAGATAATAGGCTGAAGCTGCTTAATATCGAAGGTCGGAATAACGACATTGGTCAAAGTCTGATGTAGCCGCAGATTTCCAAGCTTGTCCCTCAGAAGGCTGTGCAGATACTTGCCGTCATATTTTGGCCCCAACACAAGCTTTGCCGATTGCGCAATGGAGGAAAACAAGCAGCTATTTACAGAAATGAAATGCAACAGAAAAATAGGACAGTTAGGATTGTTTACTGAAGAGAAAGGTGGAACTAGAATGCAATTTTAAGGTTCAACGTAAAAAAGATGATCTTCGACAGCGCCTGCACCTATTTTGTGGGAATATTTTGGGGCCATTGTCGAAATAAAAGGATTTGATGTCTTTGGCGGCAAACAAGGGACGGTTTTTCTCATTTGGTGCCGTTAGCATGGCAGTCAGAAGTCCACCGGTGCTTGTTCCTGCTACGACGTCAAAGTAATCCGCGATCCTTGCATCCTCGCCATCCAGCTTCTGCATCATAGAAAGAGAACACACGACCAAAATGAAAAGGAAACTTCTATTTTGTCAAATAAGAGCCTGCGGTGCTGTGTCGGGAAGTGCAATAGAAACAATTTCCTTCCTCTCTTTGTTTCAATGTGATCCTCAATTAGCCATTTTAGAAATTGCCAAAACAAATTACGAGTCCAAGTTTCATAGAACACATTCCTCATAAGTAACAAAAAGTGTCATGCCATGTGTATTATGACCTGTAACTCAGATTCCAGGCAAGCTAGGATGACTCCTGGAACCACTCCCCTTATGCCGCCTCCGTCGATGCTGAGGATAGTAATAAGGTTTCCGTAAGTCGGAGGTTTCAGGGTCAATTTTGCGTATTCCATTTCAGCGAAAAAAATTCGGGATTTTGAAGAAAGAAGGCTAATTTTAGGTAAGTGCGAGGGTTTTTCTTTTGGCACCAGCACACAAGCCTTGGATTGGATCTCCTGTCAACTTTATATATACTGGTGATGCAACAGTTATTAAGGTCCTAACTTGTGGTCATTCCTGGAGCATCAGAAACATTGACATGGGACCAATTGATTGTCCAGTTGAGCCATGCTTTGTTTTGCCCTCTTGACGAATTTGGATTAAGCTGGAGAGCACAACTCATCATTTGAAGCTTGAAAGAAACATGAAAGCATTTCCATACGAGGAAGTGCCTTCTGCGTTCCCCAAAAAGCGAAAATGGTCCCTTTGCCAAAAGAATCTGTCCGAGGATTGTTGGTTTTAGGCAGAAAATTAGGAGAATGTTAGGTGAGGAAACTTAGGTGAAGGGATTGGGCAAAGTTCCTTGTGATCTCCATGATAGTATGAGGAGCAAATTTTGTGCGGTTCTTTGATTATGTATGGTGCTCGTGCCGCACTACCAAGCTTAGTGCTTCATTTGCATCCCAAGTTTTCGCAAACGTCATAATCGCTGGCGCATGCCTTCGATCCACTGTGCAAGTGGTGGTGACTCCAAGTCCACCTTCCCCATTACGATTCAGGCTGAAGCTTACGCTCTCATCAAGTCGCCTTTGATTGCAATATCCGGAATTTAGAAATCGAATATGACCCTCTCTATATGCTGTTAATTGTTGGAATACGATCTTGAGTCGCAATAACCTACTTAAACCTATCTTTGAACAATGCAGGACGTTACTGAGAGATGAGAGAGGATTAGTCTGATCGGCCGAACGAAAAATGAGTCGGAAAAGGCTAAGGCCCATGGATATGTTCTTGGATACCCTTCTTGTGAAAGTCCCACAACACATTCTCTTTTAGCGTCCATCATCTTTTGGGCTGTCCATCAATATACAAAAGGTCTATTCAACTTCATATAGGTTACATTTTCTACCTTTGTTGTTCAATAGGAAAAGGATTTTCTCCTGTGGATCCTTGGTGTTCTGGTTACAGGATAACCTCACCACAGGAGAAAAGCTGAAGTTCCCACAAGAGCCTTTGCGGCCTGTTTGTTTGATATATTGAAATGGCAAGCTCCACGAATACGTTCCTTATTTTTGCTAGGCCCGCTCATCCCATGCCCCCAAGTTCTCACAGTATCTTTGTTTTTTCCAAAGAGAGGGAATACTCTCTAAAAGTTTTACATTTCAGGAATCCCAAGGTTTGGATGAAACTAGAGATGAAGCCTTTTAACGGCTTGCTTGGGACCCAATCAAGTTTCATTAGATTGGTGCACAAGATTTGTTACAAAAGAAGCAGTAGACTCTTATTGTGTCTCGGATACTAGCCACTCGTTCAAAATTCCACTTACAATCTGTTACATCATTTTGCAACCTAATTTGCCAAAATCTTTTTGTATACCTAATGGTACTAGTCCCATAATATCGCACGTAGCTTTTCTAATACAAAGTAAACTTTACTTTTTGTGTCCCGGCCGGGATCAATATGTTGATTGGTGGGTCCAAATCAGCAAAGGTAGGAGATGTATGTGCATTCAAATTAGTAGGTATTTTTATCAAGTTCAACAAGTACTTAAATTATTAGCATAGGTCAATGTGTAATATCAGATTATTTTTCTGATATAGTCGAAAAATTTACCTATTATATTCTTTGCTCAATAAGTATTGGGTTTTCATTTCCGTGCCTTTACTTTGAGCTTTAAATATAAGGGTGAACAATTTTAGATTCTGTCCAGATTCAAACTGGAACCTAGAATCGATCCGTCGGAACATGTTTCTCATTTTTTAAAACCTGAAATCTACCGTACATACCTTGGAACCTACAATGTCATAGATTCTAATGTCGGTTCTAGGGTTTACTTGGGAACCGGCCAATTTCCTTTTTTTTTTTTTTTCATTTTTTGTTAAGAAAAATGACAGTGAACGAAACAATAAAAATGAAAGTCTCCCATTTGTCAATGATAACAATCCATAAAAGATGAACACGTAAAATAAAATAAATAATAAAAATATTACGAAAGGCCATAGAAACAACAAAGGATTAGATATGATGCTGAGGCATCTCCAAGTAAAAACCAAAAGGGTTAATACCACGAAAAACTCTAAATTGGTACACTTGTGACACATTTACCCCAAACTATTTTTTTGACCATAAAAAACCCCAAACTGGTATACCTGTGACAATTTTACCCCGAACATACCACAAAAAACCCCAAACTGGTACACATGTGACAATTTTACCCCAACTAATTTTTAATATTATTTTTTTTATTTTTTGAATTTTTTCTTTTTTTTCTTTTCTTTTCTTTTTTTTTTCTTCACTTCAACCTCTGGCCGGTCGCCGGTCCGGCGACCGGCCAGAGGCGGAAGCCGGCGAGGGCCGCCCTCGGCAGCCGCTGGCGAGGGCCGCCCTCGCTCGACTCGGCAAGGGTGACCCTCGCCGGATCTAGCGAGCGGCCCTCGCCGTTGTCGAGCGAGGCGGCCCTCGCCCGGCTCGGCGAGGGCCGTCCTTGCCCGCCCAGGCGAGGGCTGCCTCGCCCGAAGCCGGCGAGGGCAGCCCTCGCCCGACGCAGGCGAGGGTCGCCCTCGCCAGATCCGGCGAGGGCAGCCCTCGCCCGATACCGGCGAGGGTCGCCCTCGCCTGAGTCGGGCGAGGATCGCCCTTGCCCTGGGCGGGCGAGGACAACCCTCGCCCGACGTCGGCGAGGCGGCCCTCACCCGACGCAGTGAGGCGGCCCTCGCCCAATATCGGCGAGGGTCGCCCGAGCTTGATCTGCGAGGCGGCCCTCGCCCGACGCCGGCGTGGGCCACCCTCGCCCGACGCCGGCGAGGGCGGCCCTCGCCGACTTCCGCCTCTGGCCGGTCGCCGGACCGGCGATCGGCCAGAGGTTGAAGATAAAGAAAAAAAAATAAAAGGAAAAAAAATAAATAAAAATTCGGAAAAAAATAAAAAATAATATTAAATTTTAATTCAGGGTAAAATTGTCACATATGTACCAGTTTGAGGTTTTTTGTGGTAAGTTCAGGGTAAAATTGTCACAGATGTACCAGTTTGGGGTTTTTGATGGTCAAAAAAATAGTTCGGGGTAAAATTGTCACAGATGTACCAGTTTGGGGTTTTTTATGGTAAAAAAAATAGTTTGGGGTAAATGTGTCACAAGTGTACAAGTTTAGGATTTTTCGTGGTATTAACCCAAACCAAAACAAATATGTAACTATAGTGATAGCGATCAGAGCCACGATTAATTTACTTAGGCACATTGAATCAGCTACTTCCAGGCCAACAAAACAATGTAGCGCAAAAAGAAATTGTGACTTCTTTGATAATCAAAGGGGGAAGAGGAATGCTCGTCTCAACAAGGTAAGAGATATAAAGCTACAAGGTTCTTTTAAGCTAGCTTTGGCCAACATGGCATAGAAATTTGATTGAACAAGAAATCACAATATCCTCCAAACAGCAGGACCCTCGAACACAATCAGATCCTGTCCAACCATTAAAAACACACATTCATATTACCAGAATTAAACCAATTGATCGGCATAGATGCAACTTGGAGATTCATCCAAAAGCATTGGTATATCAGTCAAGAACATAAATCACAACTTCAGTCTCAGTAAAATTTAGCAAAATCCCGTGGAACAGTCTCAGGTACACATGCACAAATTTAGGGTTTTTGAGGTTCCCGGTTCAGTTCTCAAGAGAACTAGGAACTGAAATGGGAACTGGAGGTTCTTAAAAATGTGGAATTGGGAACTGGACCAGGTCTCACTAGGACCTGGAACTGAACTGGTTTTCCAGTTTCCGTTTCTATCCTGGAACCATGCTCACCCTTAGTGGAGATGTCCTATCATCTCGGACGGAGTATTACAGTTGTCACCAATGTGTGGAGTGGACCCTACTGGCAATTTCTGTCTTTTAAAAAAAATAATTCATATATAAATCACCCGAAAAGATATGTGAGTTTATTTTTGGTTCGAAAAGATATACGAGTTGACAGTAGCACCAATAATGTAGAGGAAAAAGAACTTTGAAAAGGGTCGGGGTTATTTAACAGAAAATAAGCAATCTATTCGTTATTTTTTTAAAGATGATTGTTCTATTGTTTGAAAGAATAGTTAGCGAAAATGTTTTCATTATAAGTAGTGATCTGTACTTGAACATTTTCGTCGATGACGAAATTACGGTTCGTTAATTCATTTTTATGAGCAAATGCCGAAGATGATTTTCAGTAGGATGTTTTTCAAAGCGTCGGTTTTCTGCGAAATAAACATGCCATGTTTTTCTTTTCTTTACGACAAGGGCAATCGAGGCTTTTGACTTGATTAACTGTGCCGAATGCGTGAAAGTAATTCCCTCCACGTATATCTAATTAGGCTCCACCGATGGATACAAGGGTGCACCCAAGATCACTCAAGGCGAGCAACAAAATTTGATGGATCAATAAAAAGATTGACTAGATTAGGGTGTGCCACAACACATTCTATAATGATTTAATAGATGTGTAATTGATCACCAAAATATTTAGGTTTATAATTCGGGCCATCGTTACTTTATTGTATCTAAAGGGGTGTTTAATTGACTCGAAATTTACCTCTTCAACATGATCTGCTGGGCTCCACTTCATTTTCTACGGGTAATTTCAAATTAGAATATAGTAACTATTTTTTGGCGCCTGCTAGACATCCAGTCTTTGTTTGGTGTCTCAATTGCTAACTTATTGTTCTTTTCCTATTGGTATCTTTATTGATTGATTCTACAATGAAAATCGTCAATCATACGCCGCCGCATATGAATAGTTGATTCATGATCATCGATGTATATTAATATTAATAATTCTTTTGGTTGTCAATAATAGCTCACGTATCTAGTGTCAATAACGATTTGTTTTCTGAACAAATTAAGAGAGAGTGCCTTTCCCAATCCTGGAAATGAGTGAATATGCCCCTGTTTAAGTTGTCATTATCAAACAGATCAATGTGCCGAGGTAATTGATCTGCCATCGGTATCATTTTATACCCATTCTTGGCTAAATACGTTATTCGTAGTTTTTGTTCTCTTTTGCATACTTGGGTCAAGGTTTAGGAGTTTCACCTGGTGTAATTTATATTAAAG